CGCGGAAATCTTCCTCAAGAACTCGGCCGCGTCCCGCTGAGTTCCCGCGGGGGGCGCCGCGGCGACCTTCCCCGCAGTGGAGAAGAACGATAGGCGCTCCTTGCACTCGTTGATCAAGTCCGTGAGCGGCTCTTCGCGCCACTGCGGGCACCCTCTGGGGGAGCAGTGGATGGCCTTCTTGAAGAAGACGTCGCACTCGGCGGGGGGGCAAGGCAGACGAAGCAGCGCCTGTGGCACGATGAGGGTGGACAGCCGCTTCAAGGTTAACTGGATCGGCCTCTCCTCGCTCTGGCACTGCCCGCACTGGGCCACGTCGCGCCCATCCACTCCGCATGGCGCTCGGGGACCGCGCGCGACAGCACCCGATCCCGGTCCGCGCCGCCGCTGCTGCAGCTGCGACTGCGCAGCACTTTGATGCCATCGGCCGAGGCCAGGCAACATTCTTCGGACGCCTTCTCGAAGTGCACGTAGGCGTCCACCGTGAGCTCGTAAGTGTATTTCTCGTATGACCGCCCCGTCGCCAGATGGCCGCGGATCGCCCCCTCCGCCGTGCTGCCGAAGTCGGGAAGGATGTGCAGCGGGTAAAGCCCGCGGCGCGCGGGCGGTGCGGGCGGCGGCGGCGCCGTCGCGGCGGGGGCTGGCTGAGGCACGACCTCGTCGCCTGGGGCGCCTTCCGCCTGGCGCGCTCTCGGCTGGAGGAAGCGAGACAGCGTGGACGTCTGCGGCACCTGGCGGCGGTGGCTCTTCTTCCGACACGAAGCCAGGTGGGTGTCGAAAAAATCAAACCGCAGGTTTCGCATGACCTTCTCCTGCCCGCAGAGGCCGCACGTCACGTGCCCCGCCCCTTTCTCGTCCACGCGCTTGGCGCGCGCATCCGCCGGCAGCGGGCACTGCACAAACACTTCGAGGCGATCCCGCAGCGCCCTGGCCCGGGCGTCCTGCCCCCCCTGCCCGCAGACCGTCGGGCTCCTCGTCCCCGTGGAACAAGTCTCGCTCGAACTCGGTGTCATAGTTGGCCACCTCGCCTGCGCCTGGGCGGCCCTCGTCCTGCTGCTGCCGTCCTTGCGCAGCCTGGAGCTGTCCTTCGAGCGTCGAGACATGATGCATGAGCTGCGCAATCTCGAGGCCCTGCTGTTCCATCTGCCTGGCCATGATCGAGTTCGACTCGGCGCGCTCGGACATTTCCCTCTCGCACTGCCTGGCCTGCTCTTCCGCCTCGCTGCGGAGACTGACCTGGTGGGCAAGTGCTGCCTCCAATCTTCGATCCGCGTCTCTGAGGTCGCCCTCCAGGACTCTATTGTCGGAGGACTGCCCCGACAACTTCTTCTCCAAGGCCGCCTGCTGCCGCATGTTTTTCTTCTGGCTCGCAGCCGCCTCCTGAAGTCGCGCCTGGAGAGACGCGACCTCTGTGTTGCAGGCCTTCGCCTGTGCTATCGCGGCGTCCCGTTTCTTCTCCGCGCCCTCCTCCCTGGCTTTGTATCGGGCCACATCGGCCTTCCGCAAACCAGTTATCTCCTTCAGCCTCGCCTTCGTAGGACGCCGGCAACTATGCGCCGACGCCGGTCTTGCCGAGGCCAACCATGGGCCCACGATCGGTGCATGCGCTTTCCTGGCCCAGCCAGGTCAGCATGCACACCGATCGCGGGCCCAAGACGGGCCTGGACAAGATCGGCATGGATCGGCGTAGGTGCATAGTTGTCGTCAGCCGACCTGGACACGGGCGAGCTCGGCCTCCGTCGCCGCCCGGCTAGCCTTCTCCTTCGCCGCCTCCTCCGTCGCCGCCTTCGCCAAACAACGGCCGTTTGCAGCTTTCTCAGCGAGCTCCGTTATAGCGGCCAGCGACACGCGCATCGGCTTCGCAGGCGTGACATCTGGAAAGACCGGGAGCTTTCTCGACGGGGTGGCCGGACAGCCACCGTCGGCCGGCCGCGGTGATGCCAGCGGCGGCGGCGGCCGCCGGGCGGGGCTTGCGGCGGGCGGCAGCGCCGCCCGCACTTGCGCAGGCCCCCCGCGGGCAGCCAGGGACGCGAGGGTGGCCTCGTCCCCGGCTTCCCGCGGGGGGGGCTGGAACAGGTCTTCGTCCGAGCTCATGACGCTGGGCGCCCGCGGCTGCCCAGTCACCCAGCCTTCGAGCTGGTCTGGTTGGCCAGTGTTCGAGCCAAAATGGCAATGGATGCAGAGAGCCTCCTCATCGTTCTCCTTTGCCGCCTCCTCATCATTCGACGAGGCCGCCAAAGCATATATGGTTCACTCCTCTGCCGATTTGCTCGGGCCACTTGCTGGATACACATGCGGAAGGCTGGCGTACCTAGCCACGCGAGGGCCGAAGGCCAGAAAGACATGCGGCAGAATGCGTATCCAACTGTCACCCAAGCTGGCCACGTCATGGGGCTCCACGTCGGCCATTGAGGTTCCCAAGAAAGGCCCCCCCGATCCGACAGACCGTGGTCCTCTCTCTTCCTCCTCCTCCACCTCCTCCCCCCTCCTGTTCCTTCCCCCCGCTCCTCGCCCTCCCTCCTCGTCGCTGGGGCTGGCCGCGGGTCGGGCCACGGTCCCGAAGCCTGCGCAGCCCACAGGCATGTGAGAATGCAACACATAGCTTTCATCAGTTTGCGTACAACACATAGCCTGCACAATGCAGCTGTCACAACGTAGCTTACACCGCATAGCATACGATGCATAGCTTCCAAACGAGAGCTGGTTGGCAGGGGGCGGAGGTCGAGCGACAGCTCTTGAGATGAGAAGCGCTGTGGGCAAAGCCCCTTTTTGCTCTCTCACTCTCGAAAAAAGGCGGCAAAGGGAGAAAAGGAGGTGGAGGAGGAAATGACGAAAGGATGTATGGCAACTTGGCGTCGACCCAATGAGCAGGTGCACTTTGGACTGGTAACCTCCGCGTTGCAATAGGCGTGGTGTTATGCCATGGTATGGCATGCTATGCCATGCTATGCGATGCTACGCTATAGTGTGCGGCGCGATGCTATGATATGATGTGGTATGCTCTGATATGCTGCAGTATGATATGCTACGCTATGCCATGCTATGCCATGCTATGATATGCCATGCTACGCGATGCTACGCTACGCTATGCTATGCTGCGCCATGCGCAGCTACGCTATCCTACAATATGCTATCGTATGATCTGCTATGCTGTGCAGTGCTATGCTATCCGAGGCCGTGGAATGCTTGGCTATGGGACCCCTCCTTCCGAACTGAATCCGCAGGGCACTCATGGGGCACCCACCCCCGAAACGAGACCCTGGGCGCCCACCAGGCGAGGAAGAGGAAGAGGAGGAGAAAGGAAGGGGCGAGGAGGAGGAGGTAGCGGGAGAACGATGTTGAGGGAGACGTGGTGTAGGAGGACGCGCAGTTTGGAAACATACAAAATAATCAACACAGGGTCGCTTCTGTGAAAGAGCCAGGAGCAGAGAAACGTCGGAACACTTGCACAACGCATCCTCCATTACATATTTCATGAATCTTCCGTGCGCAGCATAATCTTTCATCAAACACGTTAGCGCGTGGTCTCTGAGCGTACTCAAAAAAACATGCAGCCGAAAATGTGAGAGGCAACAAATGCTGAGGGTACTCCAAGTCATGTGTGAAATCCGCCACCTCAAATGATTGTGGTTAAGAGCGCATCCTCCTCAAACCCTTCCCCCATACCCCCTCCCCCGGGGTCTGGACGGGGGCGGGCCCGACGAGATAGAGATTCCAAGATGGCCCAAGATGGCTCAATGAGGGCCCGCGCGAGCCCATGATTACCTCCAAAACGGCCCAAGACAGCGCAGATTCGATCAAGATGGCTTCCAACATGCCTCCAAGCTGGCCCAAGAGAGATCCAATAGTGGCGCAAGAGGGCACCGAGACGGCCCGCAAAACGACCAATAGTACCCCAAGGTACGCATGGCTCAATGTACATACGATTCAAGATACAGCTGGCTCAAGGTACACACGGCGACGACGATGGCACCAAGGACGACGACCACAAAGATGACGACGGAAAATGGCCACGATGATGGTGCAGGCGATTCAAGATACACATGGGGCCAGATACCCGAAGTTTCAAGATGCATATGATTCCCGCAACAAGCGATTCAATATACAGAGCAGTACAGCAAGAGAGCCCATGCCACTGGAACGCCCATCAAGTCAGCACAAGGGCTGCTTGATGGACTACCAGGAACCAGGGAGCAAAGGCCAGCAAAACAGCAAGCAATCAAAACCCCCCCCGCACCCTTACCCCTTCCAGAGAAAAGCAGCAAGCAAGCAAGCAGGCGGCTGGCCAGACCCTTGGCCCTTAAAGCCTGAGTGGCCTCCCCGATGATTTGTACAATGGGGGTTACACGAGTTCTGCATGTAATGTTTTTTTTTTTATATAAAAAAAACTGTACTAAGGAATTGTAATAGTACTAGGGAAGTGCACTACAGACTTGCACTAGAAGTTGTACTATTACTCGGGAATTGCACCAAGGAGTTGCATCAAGGACTTGTACGAGGGAGTTGTACTAGCACTCGGAACTTGGATCAAAGAGTTGTTATAGTACCACTTAAACCGGGGAATTGTACGGGGGAGTTGTGCTCGGGAGTTGTACCATGGAGTTGTACTAGTACTGGGGATTGGCGATAGGGCGTTGTTCTAGGGGGCACAATGTTACCAGCTGTAATATGATACCAGCTGCACTCGAATATTTGCACGGCAGGACAACGTGCTCTCTAGGAACAACTGCGCGATAGGACATGATAGTACCAACTTGTACTCAAGTACGAGTTGTACGGTAGTCGGAGGGGTTCAGGGGTTCCAACAACAACGCGCGCGGAGAAGAAGGAAAGAAATCCATGCGCCGCCAGGGGTCTCGGGTTTAACGGGTCGCCGCGAAGGTTGACCCCCCGCGGAAAGAAGAAAAGAAATCCGGCCGGGGGGTTGGGGGGTTGAGGGATGAGTCACGGGGGCGATGTTTTCGTCGAAAATCCCCCTGTAGGGGGACAGGCCCGACTCAAGCCTGGTAGCGGCCAGTGCAGAAGGACCCGGAGTACCTGCAAGAGGGCGAAGCAGAGAATCGGGATCGGGATCGGGATCGGGATCGGGATGGGGCCCGCAGGAGCTCGGCTCCGAAGGCTGCCCTGGCGCCTGCGAGCAGCAGCCCATCTTCAGAGTGCAGGAGATCTCTGGGGCCTCCTCCTCCTCCTCCTCCTCCTCCTCCTCCTCCTCCTCCTCTTCTTCTTCTTCTTCTTCTTCGTCTTCTTCTTCTTCTTCTTATTCTTCTTCTTCTTATTCTTCTTCTTATTCTTCTTATTCTCCTTCTCCTTCTCCTTCTCCTTCTCCTTCTCCTTCTTCTTCTTCTTCTTCTTCTTCGTCTTCGTCTTCTTCTTCTTCTTCTTCTTCGTCTTCTTCTTCTTCTTCTTATTCTTCTTCCTCCTCCTCCTCCTCCTCCTCCTCCCTCCTCCTCCTCCTCCTCCTCCTCCTCCTCCTCCTCCTCCTCCTCCTCCTCCTCCTCCTCCTCCTCCTCCTCCTCCTCCTCCCCTCCTCCTCCTCCTCCTCCTCCTCCTCCTCCTCCTCCTCCTCCTCCTCCCAGTGACACGTGCGGCCCGTGGCCGCACGGCGGACACGCCGCACCGCGGAGGGCGACGGCGTCCGCGGCCGTCGTGGCCCAGGCCCGCGCCCCTGCCGGCTCGAGCCCTTGCCCGCACCGGCTCCCCGAGGCTGTGGCACACAGGGGGGCCGCCGGGTGGCGGCTGCCGCCGAGCGGGGTCGGCCGAAGGGGGGTAATCAAAGCATCCCAGTGCGACTCGACCGTTGGAGCCCCTGGGAAAGCAGCATTGGTAGTAACAGTGAAGCTAAGCGAAAGCTAAGCGAAAGCTAAGCGAAAGCTAAGCGAAAGCTAAGCTAAAGCTAAGCTAAAGCTAAGCTAAAGTTAAGCTGAAGCTAAGCTAAAGCTAAGCTGAAGCTAAGCTGAAGCTAAGCTGAAGCTAAGCTAAAGCTAAGCTAAAGCTAAAGCTCCCAAGGGACTGGGAGAACCGCTCCCAGGGTACCGGGGGAACCGCTCGGGGCGGTTTACACTGCCCGGCCCCTTCTAGGCAGAGCCTGGGTAGGGAAAAAGGAAGCTTAGCGAATCAGCGCGCTGGGCTGATTCTCTCGGCGCCTCTCGGCGCCAGAAGGCGCCGACATGTCGAGGAGAGCGCCCGACGGCAAGGGCGAGGCCAGCTACATGCGGCAGACTTCGTACCCCCCCTTCCCAACTCCCACCAGCCTTCTGGGCGTATGTGGTTTCGGGAGGGGCGGCCCACCCGCCGAATGAGGGAATGGAGGAGGGCGAGGAGGAGGAGGAGGAGGAGGAGGAGGAGGAGGAGGAGGAGGAGAGGAGGGAGGAGGAGGAGGAGGAGCGCGGGGCGAAGGATGAGAAGAGCGAGGAGGAGAAGGATGAGAAGAGCGAGGAGGAGGAGGAGGAGGGAGGAGGAGGAGGAGAGCGGGGAGAGAGAGGATGAGAGCGAGGAGAAGGATGAGAAGAGCGAGGAGGAGAGGAGAAGAGGAGGAGGAGGAGGGAGGAGGAGGAGGAGGGAGGAGGAGGAGGAGGAGGAAGGAGGAGGAGGGAGGAGGAGAGGAGGAGGGAGGAGGAGGAGGAGGAGGAGGAGGAGGTGGAGGCTGAGCGTTCCCAACCAAGCTCTGTTCGCAATCCTCGATGAGCCCCCGCACTGTGTGGGAGGTCAGGCGCAAGACGCGCAGCTCGCGCGACACCCGCCCCCTCGGAATCTGAGGGCACGCGTCCTCCAGGTCCTCTGCGTCTAACTGTGGAGGAGGCGGTGGAGGTGATCAAAGATCGTGGCGCACCGAAGCCGCCGGAGGGAGCGGGGGCGGGGGGCCAAAAGTTGGAGCATCGACGACGGCACCGGAGCGCCTGTGGCCAGAGCCGCACGGGAAAGGACTCCAGGGCACCTCGCGTACAGTCGGACTGGATTGGACAGGACACGCGAGAGGACACAGGACACTTCCGAGGGCCACACTGCCATAGGAGTGCAGAAGGCACGGGTCGCGAGACACAGGACACAAAGGTACCCTTGATTTGGCAGGGTCGACCTACTAATCCGGGCCGACTGTAGTGAGCGAAAGAGACAGGGGTATCACAGCCCACGATGCATCGGGAGTCGGGGTTGCAAGGTCGGGTGTCGCACACCCACCCGCCCGCCCAGGCGCGAATGGCCGCCATCCTCCACGAGGGGAGGAAAGGGCTGAGCGTCTCCCGAGCCCCCTCGCAGTCCACGCGCCGCAGACTGTCCTCCCCCAGGTCAGACCAGTGACCGAGCCGCGCCTTGACAGCGCGGAGAAGGGCACCCTCAGAGAGGTACAACACAGGGGTGATACCGCGCTGGAATCCTCCTCCCCCTCCTCCTCCTCCTCCTCCTCCTCCTCCTCCTCCTCCTCCTCCTCGCTGGAGGGTCCTCTGGGTCTTGCTGCGAGGGTGCGGGGGGGCCAGTCGAGAGCGCCGCCGCGCTCCTGCTCCCGGAGAGCTCCAGCCCGCTGCGGGCCGCCGGACCCTCTCCCAGGGGCTCCAGGGGAGGAGAGGCCTGCGCCGCCGGCCTCCCGGAGCGACCATGCGAGGGCGGGTTCGTTCCAGGACGTCGGCCATGGCCTGGTCCATCCATCGCGCGTGAGGACGCGCATGAATGCCATGCCATCCTCGGCCTCCGCGAGAGGGCGCGCACACGTCTGCGGCCACGCGCCGGCAGTCTCCCGAGCAGCACGCATCCGCGCCGCCGGCCATCGCTCGGATCGGAAGGATGGGGTTGCCTCCGAGAGCCTGCAGACCCGTCCAGGCGGACTGGGGGAGCCACGAGCCAGGGGCACGGTGGAGGTGGGTAAGGACATGTGGCTCGTCCGCGACCTCTTGACGCGGGAGTGGAAGGAGCTGGCACTTGTATGAGAGCGTACTGACCGATGTCCGACGTACAGCGACTGCTTCGATCAGCACCTTGATCAGCAGTCAGCAAGGCTTTTCCGATTCAAACTTTTATTATCAAGGTGCAGCGTGTATGAGTAGCACCTTATTCAAGCAGTGGTATGGCATATCCTTTGAGGGCGTTCGATCAGCAGTCGCACAGCAAGGATCGAAATTGAGAAGCGAGTACCAGTCGAGCCAGATCAAACAGACCGACAGCAGACTCCACTCGAGCGACCAGCTGCTCTTTCCCACATCCTTACCTCTCAGCAATACTTTTTTACCAAGCAGCCACACCCACTGGACAGCCGGCAGCAGCAACAATTGGTTCGCACTGACCACCCACCCTCCGCCGACGGCACCCTCCCACCTCTTCGAGCACCCTCGCGGCGACCGCATCCGCACAGCACTCACGGCGCGTACACCTACAACAGGCCATGCTAGGCAGTGGGTCCACGGTTCGACACGGCCCCCAGACTCGCCATCATCCAAGTATGCTACCGGCGACCGCCATCAGGAGCAACGTCAGGAGGCATCTTGCAGCAAGCTGGGTCTACAGCACGTGCACTGCGGCGTCACTTGTGCCAGCTTGCCGCAATCACAGCTGCTTAAGCCCTCGGCAGGCGCATGCCCACCTCTCTCGCAGTGGAGGGGGCGGGCTGGGGCGAGGGTGCCCTGAGCTGTACTGGGGGGACGGTGTTGGGAGCTTCCTGGCGGCAGGGGAGGGGCTACTGCGCCATCCCACCGGGGCGAGCGTGGCCACCTCCGTTTCAACTGCCACCGCCGCAGCCAAACGCCCTGCACTGACGCCACGCCTCCAGGCGCAACCGCCTGCCGCTCAGCTCCCCCACCTCCGCTCCCTCGCGAGGACGTGACCATTCCCAGACCCCCGACGTCGTGAGACACTCACGACGCCGGCCCCCCGAAGTCTGGAGACCTTCCCTGGGACCAGTTTTTCGTCCCGAGTCGTTCCTTGACGCTCCCGAGGCCCGGCGGGGGCCTCCAGAGGCCGAGAACCATCAAAAACCCTCGCCGTGAGTTTCTCGCGACGTCGGAGGTCTGGGTTCCTCGAGTTATTATCTCCTCTCTCCTTCTCCTCCCGCACTGCTGCCGCTACCAAGTGCTGTGCCTCACAGATTTTCTCCCAGCCGGCGACGCCTGGTCCGGCCGCCACAAGGGTCGCCTGGCTCACTAATTTTATGTCGGGCCTGTCCCCCTACAGGGGGATTTTCGACGAAAAATGAAAAATACCCCAAAAATACCCCAAGAAGGTAAAAAAATACTAAAAAAATAGCTTCCAGACTATTTTTGGAGTATTTTTGGAATATTGTTTATGTTTCGTCGAAAATCCCCCTGTGTGGGGACAGGCCCGACTTAACACTAATTTGATCAGCCATCTTCTGGCGCCGACCGGCCCTGGGAGGGGGTGGCTACATCTGAACGACGTTGCAGCCACCAGTGCCTCAGTGCCTCAGGAGGAGGGAGAGGAAGGGGAGGAGGGGGATGAGGAGGAGGGGAGGAGGAAGAGGAGGAGGAGGAGGAGGAGGGAGGAGGAGGAGGGGGAATGAGGAGGAGGGGAGGGGAATGAGGAGGGAGGAGGAGGCGGGGAGGAGGAGGCGAGGAGGAGGAGGAGGAGGAGGAGGAGGACGACGAGGACGAGCAGGACCTGCAAGGAAGATCCGCGACCCAGACATCCGACGACGTGCTTTTTCCATCCGCGGCCTCAGAGGTGCCGATCCCTTCTGCGGGGGGGCAGTTCTTCGGCCCGGATCTATTTGTGATGGCACATGGGCCCGACGGTGGGCCCCCGAGGCCGAAGTGCAGGAAACCGCGTCGACTGAACCAAAAAATGCCGTCGGAGATCCTCCTCCTCCTCTTCCTCCTCCTCCTCCTCTCCTCCGACTCCTCTTCCCCTCCTCCTCCTCCCTCCTCCTCTCCTCTCCTCCTCGCCTCCTCCTCCTCCTCCTCCTCCTCCTCCCCCTCCTCCTCCTCCTCCTCCTCCCCTCCTCCTCCTCTCCTCCTCCTCCTTCCTCTCCTCCCCTCCTCCTCTCCTCCTCCTCCTCCTCTCTCCTCCTCTTCTCCTCCTCCTCCTCCTCCTCCTCCTCCTCCTCCTCCTCCTCCTCCTCCTCCTCCTCCTCCTCCTCCTCCTCCTCCTCTGGGGAGCCCGGCGGGAGAGCACTGGGCCAGCCAGAAGTGGTCGCCCATGACCGGCGAGGCGTCGGCCGCGAGGACCTGCGAGGACGCCACCAGCACGGGCTCGTCGCCCCCGCGGGCCGCGAGCCGCCGGACCTGCGAGGACGCCACCAGCAGCGGCCGCCCGCAGGGAGCGACCCTGGGCAAGAGGGTGACCTCCGGTGCGCGGCCTCCCATCGCTCGGACGCCCATTCCCTGTGCTTTTTTTCGGCTTCGTGCGTGGCTTCTTCGCAGGATGATGCAGGATGCGCCTTGATGATCCCCGCGAACGAAGAGGAGGAGGAAGAGGAGGAAGAGGAAGAGGAATAGGAGGAGGAGGAGGAGGAGGAGGGCGAGGAGGGCGAGGAGGAGGAGGAGGAGGGCGAGGAGGAGGGCGAGGAGGAGGAGGAGGAGGAGGAGGAGGATGAGGAGGAGGAGCAGGTCCCCGCCGAGAAAGAGTGCACACGTCCGAGCGGTGCCAAGGGGCGGGAGAGGGGGACCTCCGGCGCGCGGCCTCCGCGCCCAAGCCCGAGCGCGCAGGCCGCTGCCGATCGCGGCCGGCAGGCGCGGCGATCGGGGGGCGCGGGCAGGCCAGCATGAAGTCGGGCGTGTCCCCCCCTACGGGGGGATTGTCGACGAAAAACAAAAAATACCCCAAACATACTCCAAAATAGTAATATATATATATATATATATATATATGAATCCCCATCTTATTTTTGGACTATTTTTGGATAACCCCCCTGTAGAGGGGCAGGCCCGACTTCAGGCCAGCACCAGAGGTCACCCCCGGCGAGGGGTCGCCCCTGCGCGTCGTCGACAGCAGCGCCAGCGCCGAGGCGCGCCCGCGGGCTGCCGGGGCGCGGGCCTGGCCCTTCATTGCTGGCGCGCGCGCCCGCGGTTCGTGCGGAGGGCGCGCCCCGTCGCGCGGGCGGCGGGGCCCTTCGCGCCAGTGGAGCGGAGGCGGCCACGGGGGCTTCGGGGGGAAAGAGGGGGGAAGGAGGAGAGGAGGAGGAGGAGGAGGGGTAGGAGGGACGAGGGAGGATTAGAGGAGGATGACCTCCTGAGTTCTCCGTTCTCCATTCCCTTTTCCTTCTACTCCTAGCGTCTGCTTCTGCTCCTGCTCCTGCGCCTGCTCCTGCTCCTTCTCCTCCTCCCCTTCTCCTCCTCCGCCCTCCGCCTCCTCCTCCTCCTCCCCTCCTCCTCCTCCGACGCCTCCTCCGCTCCTCCACCCTGCTCCTCCTCCTCCTCCTCCCTCCTGCCCTCCTCCTCCTCCTCCTCCTCCTCCTCCTCCTCCTCTTCCCTATTCCTCCTCCGCCTCCTCTTCGTCGTCGTCGTCCTCCTCCTCGTCCTGACTGCTGCTGCTGCTGCTCCTCCTCCTCCACCTCCTTTCCCCTCCTCCTCCTCCTCCCTCCTCCTCCTCTCCTCCTCCTCCTCCTCCTCCTCCTCCTCCTCATCATCATCATCGAGCATCATCATCATCATCATCCATCATCTCACATCATCATAGAATCATCTCATCGTCAATCATCATCATCATCATCATCCATCATCTCATCAGCATCAGCATCAGCATCAGCATCACATCAGCATCAGCATAAGCAGCAGCATCAGCATCATCATCATCATCATCCATCATCAGCATCGTGTCATCATCATCATCATCATCTCATCATCATCATCATCGTCATCATCATCATCATCTCATCATCATCATCGTAGTTCATCATCTATCCATCCACAATCTTCACAAGAAGCATCAGCATCATCATCATCATCATCATCGATCATCATCATCATCATCATCATCATCATCACTCATCATCCTCATCATCATCGTAGTCATCATCATCATCATCATCATTCATCATCATCATCATCATCATCATCATCAGCAGCATCATCATCATCATCATCATCATCATCATCATCATCATCATCATCATCATCATCATCATCATCATCATCATCATCATCATCATCATCATCATATTCCTCGTCCTCCTCCTCCTCCTTCATCCTTTCTCCTTGCACATAACTCCTCTCTGCCGCGCCCCGAGACGTGTCGGCAGGAAGGGCGGAGCACTTTGCCTGAGACCTTCTCGCCAGTATGATCGGATGGAGGGTGGTTCCTTTTTTACCTGTTAGCCAGCGTGGGCCCCAAACAATGTGTTTCTAGCCATCTGGTGTGCATTCGATGTTGCGCAGTTAACTTTGCAGACCTTGGAATGTTCATCTCCAGGGCCCGCGCAATCATCCCACCCGCCCACCAACTTGGTTTGCAAACCCATGCGGCGGCGATCGCGGTGGGTGTTTCGTGCTGGCTGGCGCATCTCTGCGACCGCGCTGGCACGCACATGGTCGCGCGCACAGCCTGTTGCACAGCGGCCAGCTAGTTTGGCGCAACCGACGCGGCCGTGGTGGGACTCACCAATGGAGACTCCCCGGCGCGTCTCACAGGCCGCGCAAGCGCGCGGGCACTTCACTGCGATTCGGTGACTCGGGTGGGCGCAGTATCGTGGTGACGTCGACAACGGCAGAAGCGATGATGATGGTAGCGATGATAGAGACGCTGGTGACGATGACGGCGGCAAGGCCAATGACGGCGCCGATGCTGGTCATGCCGATGACGGTGATGGTGTCCACGTATCGGTGATCAATGTGTTGGGAGGATTTCGGCATGCGCGCAAGGCCGGCGCGCGCGAGTGGCCAGCAGGGTTTTATTTGACAAGGACCGTGCCCTCCAGCAAGCGCGCAAGGGCGTTCGAACGTTTTCGACACGCGCGCGCGCGAGAAGCCCGCTTGGTCGTATGTGATGGACTTGTTGAACAACTGATGGTTTCCTCAGAATTCGCCAGAGCGCGCGTTAACAAATCATGTTGTAAATCCACTGTTGATTCATATGTGTTCGGGAAGCCCGAACTTGAAATCCCACCAACCCTTTTGGGCGTGAGTGGTTTAGAACGTTTCCTCTTCCAACCCCTCTTTTCCCGTTCGGTGAAGGGTTTATCATTGTTCCATATTCACCCTATCCCCCAGGCGACCTGCAGCCAACCAGGACCAATGAACCCCCCCACCATCCCTGTAACAAACACTACTAAATACCCTTCGGGGTATCTTGTTAGGTCATGTTCGCGGGCCCCGCGAGCACTTTGTACTGTTTATTGACAGGGGCGGCGGGGGGGTATCAGAATGCCTGCGCAGGGCCACCATCCGTGTCAGCAAACAACACAACATGGACTTCGCGGCTAAACCTGGATCATGCGCGGCCACCCCGCGGTCACTTTGCGCTGGTTTCGGGGGAGAAAAACAAATGAGGGTGCTGGCATATTGCCTGCTGTGTGCAGGCCCACCAGACACCATGATGGCCACCCCGTGGCGATTGTGCACTGGTTTTCGAAGAGGACGGTGGGCGCCGACATGCTCCCCGATGTGTGCTGTCACCTGCGCAGGCGCACCTGGCACACTCTGCGCGTGCCCCGAAAGTAGCGTCTGGCGCGGCTGGAGCATGCTGCGCACATGGCGCGCGTGGAGCATGTGGCGCATTTGGCGCGCCAGGCGTGCCGGGCACGCTTGGGTCTTAGGGGTGCCTGGCGCACCTGGCGCACGTGGCGCGCATGCCACGCGTGGCACACTTCGCCCCAGCATCGCGCACATGGGGTCTGTTTTTGGTTCCCAGTAGCTGTCCATCCATAGACGAGCGCTGATCAGGATCGGGTGCTGCTTTTGTGTTGGGAGGGCGGGTGGGAGCGAGCGAGACAGCTTGCGGGCGGGAAGGGTGTCTTGATCACTGTGCCTTATTGATATACACCCCCTCCCTCACCCGACTGCAGGCCAACCCGGGCCATGACCACCACCACCACCACCCCACCGCCCCTGTCAAAAACCATACAGAATACACTTTGCCTCCAACTCTCGAGCACGCGCGGGCGCCCCGCGACCACTTTGCACTGGTTTTTGCCGAGGACGGCGGGGGCGCCGTCATATTGCTTGCTGCGCGCAGGCCAACCACCCCCGTGAGAAACCTGGCTCGTGGCCTCCACCTCCGGAGCAGGCGCGGGCGCCCCCGCGACCACTTCGCCTTTGCCTCTGCCAGACCAGAGCACGCCCGGGCTGTCCGAGTGCGCCCGCCCACGCACGCCATATGGAGGCACGCCCTGGGTGCTGGAGTGCGCCCGCCCACGCGCGCCACGGGGAGGGGGGCGGGGAGGGGGTGGAGCACAAATAGGGCACGGCTCGGCCAGGGTGTCCCATCGGAGATGGACAGAGCCCCCCTTGGAGCAAAGCGCGGTGTAGTGAAAGCGACCTGGCGGGCCCAGACCCGGCGGGCGCAGGCCTGGAAGAGATGACGGCCGCGGCGAGCCCCTCGAGAACCGAAGGCGGACGACTCACCGATCGACGTGCCAGGGCGGGGGGCTTTGTCCACCCCCGGTCCGGAGAGGCCCGGGCCCGAGGGAGGAGGGGCGGGGCGGGGCACAGGAGACGGGGAGCCGCGGGGCGGCGGGCGCCAGCTGCCGTCGCTGTGCAGCGCGCACCAAGAGGCCCCGCCGTGGGACGGAGGGGGGAAGGGGGGGAGGTGGGGTTAAGTGGAGGGCTCCTCGCAAGCCAACGGCCGCGAACCAACATCGCCAAGGAGGAGGAGGAGGAGGAGGAGGAGGAGGAGGAGGAGGAGGAGGAGGAGGAGGAGGAGGAGGGGGAGGAGGAGGAGGAGGAGAGGAGGAGGAGGAGGAGGAGAGAAAACAAAGGTAATGACGACGACGACGGCGGCGACGACAACGACGACGATGACGACGATGACGACGACGGCGACGACGAGGACGACGATGTCGGTGGAACGACGATGATGGTGCTGACGATGGCGACGACACAAGCTCTTCAATCGCCCAATGGCGTTACCCGATCAGAAGCACCTGCCGTGCCAAAGCGACCCTTGAAGCAGATGCAAATCCATCCGTGCAACAGGTGGGAGTTCCAAGCGTTATGGTCTTACACTGTCAGAGCGTCTCGGGCGAAACGCCCAGATCGCCCCACAGACACGTCTGGTGGCCCGAGGAGAACGAGCTTCGAGATTAGAAGCGAGAATGGGGACACATGCGTTTGGAGCAATCTGCGTGGAAGGATGCGGGCGGAAGAGGCGAGGCCCGGTCGGCGGTGATGCCTGCGAGTCCATCTGCGAGTGCCGCGCGCTGCAGCCGCTCGGAGCTCCCCGCGAAGCTGCGGAAGGCGTCGGGGACGCTCATCTGCCTGCAGGGAAGCTCTACGCCTTACATATCCTGCGTCGGGAGGACGGGGGAAAGACCAAAGCAACCCCATGACGCATCGACGATGCTGCAGTACACCCTCCCGGCCCAGGTCCCCTCCCCTGGAGTCACTGCTAGCATTGGGTCGGGCATGTCCCCCTTCAGGCGGATGTTAAAAGAAAATTCTAAATAATCCCCCAAATTCTTTAGACGAGTCCAAAATAATTGGAAAATCGTCCCCAGATTATTTTTTGACTATGTTCGAATATTCCCC